TCAGATTTCTGGACAAGGATAGGTTAGCGACATAAACTGCGTTAACCTGCAATACAAATTAATAAATGTATTTGACTTTAAAAGAGATGTTTCCATTATATTTAGTTCATTACATATGTCTACTGTGATACAGAGCATTAAAACAATCATATTATAAAATTATATTATACAGGGTGTCCAAATAATTGCAAATTCTTTAATAGCTAATATATATCTACTAAAAGCATTAAAAAACTTTAAATGTAAGAGGTATTTGGTATTTGAATTTGGTATTTGATTTAAAATTGTGCATCTTAAAAAGAAACCTTCTGTATTTTTGACAACTTTTGTTCTTTATTGTTCTTGGTCTACTAGTATTTAGATTAGATACCTTGTACCCTGTATTATAACAATCTTCCTTACCTGACTTAGCACTATTCTGAATCGGATAAATTAGTTAGATCTGAAGGGCTATCTTCATTAATCAAAATTACAAGTGGTTCTACCTGAACCTCTATAATATTATCCAACTCCCACATTTTTACTTCAACTTTTTGGCGAACATGGTCGATACGCTTTTTCCATTTTTCTGGAGAAATTAATATTATTACTTCTTCAAAAAGAATTTTAATGTCTCCAGATTTAAATGTTGAGTTTCTATCTGCTACGTATTGTTTAACGTCAACCTAGATTAATTCAATATCATGTTGTTTTGCTGCTTAGCCATTTCATCTATTACATACCTATCATTGTGTTTATGTTGCTTACCAAGTTTTAGAAGTTGGATCTTAAGCATTTGGTAGTCGAATTCAATTTTTTTCCCTTATAGCTATTTTTAAATATCACCTTTTCTAGACGTCGTTGTAAATATTTTTTCCAGGTTTCTCAAATAATAATGCAGTTATCTTCTAATTTTGGTAGGGTGTTTGAAAACCACTCTTTGAACGATTCTCCACACATTTCTTCATGGTAGTCACCGGATTTTTCAACTTAAATACATAAAGTGCATTAGAGACAAAGCCTTCTTCACTTCCAATATGGCATATAATGAGCTGTTTTTACGCTCATACCTGATGGGTTTTTGAAACCAGTTAAAAGTTCATCCAAAAAGGCTTCTCTGGATGATAAAACCGACATATCGAAACATACTTTTGATTTGGTGTGGCCTGCGTTAATCCAAGTCTCATCAAGATAATATATTTTTTGCTTTTCTTCTCTGTACCGTTTTATTTTTTGTGGCGTAGGACGAAACAATTTAATTTTGTCTAAAAGCAAACTACTTTTTCCTCGAGTTTTAAATTTAAAATTGGGGGTTTTGAAAAGCTTGTAAAATGTAGCTCGCTTAAAAGTAGATAAATATGGATCATCGTTGACTTCTTATAAAACCTTATCGATTGTTGGAAGTTAATTTCTAAAGAAGAATTGATGTACTTTGCGCCTTATTGCATTTTTATCAAAATCATCCACAGAGCCACTAATTTGTTTATAACGTAGCTTCCTTTTTGGTTCAGAAAATTTATGAATCTGCCTATACTCCTTCATAACATTAAAAACGGTTTTAGCGCACATCCCTGTTTTATCAGCAACTCTCCTTTCAACATCATGTACCAACATATCAGGGTTATATAAAATTTAATGCTTATAAATATTAAGAACGAATATTAGTACGGATGACCAAATGTCCCTTTTTCGGTCGCTTTTTAGAAGGAGTAAAAACATTTTTCTGGACTTCATCTGCTGTATCTGTGAAGGACATATTGTCACGCAGCAGTTACAAAATATAGTCAATTAAATGTCCATAAAATAGAGTAAAAAATATTCTAACTAACAACAACCACAAAAACAAAACAAAAATAAATAACACAATATATGTATATCTAAACTATGATATAATGAATTATAATCAATCAAACATACAAAATTTCTGAACTAACCAACACGGTGAATGCTACCAAAACGCCGTTTATAATTATCCAAATTAAACTGAATTCGACTCTGACAAAAAATATTTGCGCGTCGTCTAAATGTCTAACGACCGATTAACCAATAGAAGCGCAAAAAAAATGCCACGTGAGCTGTTACTGGATGGGAGAGATTGTTTTGACGCGGCGTAAATGAAATCTGAATAGACTTTAACTAAAATATTTATTTATTATTAGTTGTAGTACTTGGAAACAGTATTTCGTTGATAATAATAGCTACACTTAATACAAACTCAAATAACAAAAAGAAAACAGCGCTATTGGCTCTTGTACAAAGTTTTGAACCGAATGTACAAATGATAAAATTATTAGAAAAAGTGAACACCCATGTTAAATTACCACGAGCCGCTACTGCCACTGATATTCGTTATCTTTTAAATTAGCATTTGTTTTTTGAAAAATCGTTCATAATCGTCCATTTCCTTTTGCATAATTTTAAATTTGTAACATATAACCACCCCGTCGAACAATATTAGTATATTGCTATAAATTGGTATGGAATAATTGTTGTTTATCTTTTCTAAGTGTTTTCAATGATTGAAAAATTAACAGTTATGGGGATGCATCAAAAATATTAAAAACTGAATTGTTTCTTAAAGTCGGAATATCTTGTTCAAGTTTCTCTAATGAAACTTGCTTATTTGGCAGTACGTAATACTAATAATACTAAACGAAAAATGTTAAAACGTTATTGGGTCCTATGATTGAACGTTTACGTTATCCGTAACGTATATGTTAGGCCGAATTTTAAAAGTAACGAGGCAAGTTCGTATGATGGAAACCTGTTAAATTAGAACATAACAGGCGGAAAATAACAGTAATGTGTTATGAAAGACTTTACATCATACGAATTTGTCTCTTTGCTGTTAAAACTCGGCCTAACATGTACGTTACGGATAACGTAAACGTTCAATCATAGGACCCATTTAGGGCTGATATAGGGTCCTACGATTGAACTTTTACGTTATCCGTAACGTACATGTTAGGCCGAGTTTTAACAGGTAACGAGGCATGGATTAGAAATCCATACTCGATTGCAATTACATCAGAAAATAAAGATCTGACAGCACTAGAAAAAGAACAGTTTATAGAACTGGCAAATGATGAGGATTTAAAAAGTAAATTCGAAAATTTTTGGGTATTTGTGAAAGATTCATAGCCGGAACTGTCAAACAAAGCCTTGAATTTTTTGATCTCATTTTCTACTACATACTTATGCTTAACTTCATTTTCTGCATTAATGTATATAAAAAATAAATACAGAAATAGTTTTAAAAACGTTAAAGAAGACGTAAGGCTGAAATTATACAAAATTAAAACCAATATAGACAAGCTTGTCCGAGAAATGCAAGCTCAAGGATCACATTAATTTTACAATAATTATTATTATTAACACTTGTTCTTTAAAAAATATAACTACCCTGATATAATCTTTTTTTATTGTTTTATGTCAATAGGGCCGCCAACTTTATACAAAGCTGATCAGGGGCCACGACGAAAAAAGGTTGAGACAGTTGACCTATCGTCGCCTTACTTTCAAAACCTCCTAAGTCCGATTTTTACTGTTTACGAGGTTTTGATACACACAGATTTTAAATATTATTATTTGCCATCCTGCAAAAGCTCGTAAGTTTTAAATTGATTGTAGCGACATCCATCGGACCATATTGAAACCTTCTAGGTCGTTGCGCCGCATGGCATTACTCAAAAGTTTCTATGTCTGTATTTTGCATTCAGCCATCATTGTTTAAGAAAGTGCTCGCAATTTTTAGCCAAACATTGTTTAAAATACCAAGAAATAGTGAAAAAAGTGACTCTTTTTATTGATACACAAGGTAAGTAATCCATAATTAACTTTTAAATGTTGACAATTAGATTTTAAGTTGCTAAATTTGACCACGTTTGTTGGAAACCAACTTAGGAGGTTTTGATTTACATTGTTTTATTTCAAATATTTCTAAACAGTAGACTTATGCGGTTTTGATTACCATCTGAATTGTGATATTTTTATTTTATTTTAACTCCTTTTTTTTATTTTTAAGATGTACGGGGGTATGAGAAGAAATAAATTCATGATAGTTTCAAATTTGAATGAAACTAGTGGTGTATCATCTTCCTCAACTTCAATATTGGAAATTAATAAAATAAATAATAACAATGATGCTCTAGTAATAAATACAAACAATGAGACTAAATATGAAAATTGCATTGAACTTCGGAAGGAAATAGATGAAGCTATAAAAGTATGAATAGTAGACTGTGGAGAAAAAAAGGATGAATTATTGTTATTAAAAGATGAGGTGATTGGTAAGTAACTACTTTATTGTTAAAAACCAATGTTATTAATAAGAATAAATTGTAGTAAGAACAAAAACTGCGTTTTCCAATACAGAGCTTGAAATTGACAAGAGAAATAATGTGCAAAATAAACCAGAGCGATGTGATATTGATATTGCCGAGACTGAATCGCTAAGCACTTTTATGGCCAACCAGAAGCCATGTAATAATAAATATTGTTATTAGGAGATCAAGTAAATGGTAAGTAACTGCTTTATTTTCACTAATTTTATTAGTAAGAATAAATTCTAGGCACCACAGCAACTGAATTTTCCAATACCAAGCAAGAAATTGCCACAAGAAATAATATGCAAGATGAACCAGATCGACATAATATTGATATCGCCGAGGCTGGTCCTTCAGGCATCTTCATGAGCAACCAAAAGCGATGTAAAAGTGACTCAGAAAGTGAGCATGAAGAGAACGAAGATGAATATTTTGATATTGGGAAGAAAATAGGAGCGAGAGATTGTGCACAAGAAAACAATGAAATATTAGAGGACATTGAAGAAGGATTCAATATACAAACCAAAAGAAAAAGAAAATGAAAACCTGATACAGGGAGTTGGAAGAGGCAAGAGTGTAAGATCAAACGTCAAAAGGGAGAAAACTATCAAGGATTTAGAAAAAAACCCAGAGTTAAAATGGACCATTGACGTAGCGAAACCACCTCGTAAAATGAAACCTTTTTGTAATTGTAAGATGTCGGAAAAATCAAAGAAAATACAATGTCGAATGTTTACAGAAGCAAATAGGCAGCACATTTTCAGCCAATTTTGGCAAAATATGACCTGGCCTGAAAAGAAAATTTACGTTTCAAACCTTGTAGACACTATGGCTCCAAAAGATTTAAAAATCCAAATCAATCAGATTTCAAGACGTTCCAAGACATTTTTATGCTATTTGAAGAAAAATGGTGTTCGCCTAACAGTCTGTCAGGTTATGTTCATTAATACTTTAAACCTGGGAACTTGGTCTTTGCGTAACTGGGTAACTCCAAGTGAGGAACTTGATATCGAACATCCTGATAATGTAGAAGTTACTTTGCATCAAAGAAATAGGATCAATACTAGACATGAATCAGATAGAATCGGATTAAGGACATTTTTAATGAAATTACCAAAAATGGAATCTCATTATTGTAGAGTTTCATTGAGTAAGAAATATTTGGAGCCAATTTGGCAAAGCAAAGCTGCATTGTACAGAAATTATGTTGAATACTGCGAAGACAAGATCATTAAGGCTCTTTCCTTAAAGACTTTTCATGAAGAGTTTACTTTAAATAATTTAGGTTTATATTCTCCAAAAAAAGATCAATGTGACCTTTGTGTCTCATATAAGGCTGGGAACGTCGATGTGCAGTTATACAATCACCACATTTCTAAGAAAAATAGAGCACGTGGTGAAAAATCATCGGATAAAAGTAATGCTCGGCTTGTTTATACGATGGATCTCCAATCAATACTTCTTTGTCCAATGCTTAAGGCATCAAAAATTTATTACAAAAAAAATAGTGGTTCACAACTTTACCTTGTATAATTTGATAACAAATGATGCACATTACTTCTTGTGGCATGAAGCTGAAGAAAGAGTAACGTCAAATGAATTTGAAACAATTCTCTATAATTTCATCTAATCTAATGTGTCAGAAGGGGAAGAAATTATTTTGTATAGTGATGGATGCTTCGCTAAAAATAAAAACGTTACTTTGTCAAACGCCCTGTTGAATCTAGCGATAAACAAGAGCATAATTATTACTCAAAAATACTTGGTAAGTGGTCATACCCAGATGGAGTGCGACAGCATGCACTCCACAATTGAGCGAAGAATTCGTAATAGAGAAATTTATTCGCCTGCAGGGTATATTGCCGCTTGTAAATCGGCACGTCTAAATCCAAGACCCTATCAAGTTAAATATTTAAATCATAGATATTTTAAAAATTTTGCTGCACTAAAGTACCACACTTTCATTCGTCCTGGATATAAAACAGGAGATCCTACTGTTAATGATTTGTGTGCCATACAATGCAGACCTGATGGAAAGCTATACTACAAATTGAATTTTGACGATGATTGGATGGCATTGGAAAAGAGATTAAGTAGAAAAAGTCAAGAGATCGGTAATACAGTTCCTCTTTATGAAAATCAACTACCAATTAAAAAAAGTAAATACGACCATTTACAGCAATTAAAAGAAGTAATACCTGCGGACTATCATCTTTTTTATGATACCTTACCCTTTGAAGCTGATTAAATTTTTTATAATGTTTTTTGTATTTTTTAGTTATCATTTTGATTGGAATTCTTTTTTATTTCATTTAGAATCTTCTCTGTTTTTAATTTTTTTTTAGTCGCTTAATAATAATTATTCTTGTCATGTATGCAGAATTCGAAATAAATAAAACCTACTAAGTCTTGTTATTTTTGTTTCAATACCTCCTATGTCTAGACAAAAAGTAAATTATTGTAATTTTTAGTAGAAATTAGTGTAAACAAGTCAAAATCAACTCTAAATATTGGTTAATAAAAGAGATCAGTTCACATAATTGGTATAGATGGTTCAAACACGTTTTTCATCCCTTCTTTAAAATAAGGTCAAATTGACTTGGGAGGTTTTGAAAGTTAGCCGACGCTATATTCCTGTTACCAGCGTTATCTAAACTTTTCGAAAAACTTTTATTAAAAAGATTTAATTCAATGATAGTAAAAATATAATACCTGACCACCAATTTGGACTTAAAAACAAGCATTCCACTCTTGACCAAGTCCACAGAATAACAAATAAAATAGAGGAAACACTGGAAGAAAAAAAGATCTGGACCTCACTCTTTCTAAATGTAGCTCAGGCTTCTGATAAAGTATATTTAGAGGGCCTTGAATATAAAATAAATGAACTTCTACCTAGGCAATATGGTGACATCTTAAATTCTTACTTGACTGGTAGAATCTTCCAAGTAACAAGCTTTAAGAAACTAAAGCGGGGTCCCTCAAGGAAGTGTTCTAAGGCCACTTCTTTACGTGTTGCTTACTTCCGACATACCACAAACACAAAATGTGAAAGTAGCCACATATGCCAACGACACAGCCATACTTGCCATCGGTAAAACCATAGAAGAATCAAAAAGAAAACTTCAACATGCAATTAATAAAATCTATCAGTTAACGAAAAGATGGCGCATTAAGCTCAACGAAACTAAAACAGTTCAGGTTACCTTTATTAATAAAAGATTATACTATAAATTAAAGTGAAAAGAACTCATAAAGAAAAACCGGGAAGAGTTGGGTATTAAAAATATAGAAAATAATACTGGTTTATGAATAGAAAATCAAATATTTTAATCGAAAATAAACTTTTAATATATGAACAAGTACC